GATACAACTGGGACTGAAGCGCATTATGGTACACGAATCGTGTACCAATGGTAAAATGTTTATTTTGTCTTAAATATTGGATATCAAAAGCCCATCTTTTTCATGTAAGATCACAACATGAATGTTGATTTAATTTGACAAATAAATCGTGTTTTCAATGTTGAAGATTTTGGATGATATTGAGTTAGAGACTTAGCTACTTTAAACTAAGATAAAATCGAAATTTTAAGAAATACTGCAATTTGATTGGCTGACCAGTAAAATCAATTTGCATATATCCAATGAAGTTGCAGTATTTCTTAAAATTTCGATTTTATCTTAGTTTAAGTTTTCGTGAATAAGGGCCCTGGGCAGTTAGAATTTTAAGAAAAGTACCAAGTGAATAATGGAATGGGTTTAATTTCTCGTCAACAAAATGATCTGGTCAATTTGAGACTAACACAATTGTTGTTTCTATGGTTACGTTAACAATGCTGGCTGGGCCTAGTAGAATTTTACCAGGGCAGTGGCGATTCCTTCTACTCTTCTTCGATTTCTAATTCTCAACCGTTCCATTACGTGCACTGAACTGTTTACATGAATGGGTCCGTTTTTACGTATCATACGAACGACTAGGCCCATTCTCATCGCCACAGGAGTCAGTGGTGCAAGACGGATGGGCAAACAAGTGTTTAGTCGTTCGGATGGGACGACAAACCAAGGTCCCGTGTACATATTGGCGTGCATGTTAAAGATCCTTGGAAGTTGGAATTCAATATAAGAGTAGGCGCGTTAGCCCAGTCGAAGCAGAACAGTGTCAGTAGGACGTTAAACCCCATTTCATTTTCTACTTGGCCTATATTTTATTTTAGTCTACCCGGAAAGCAATCTGATTAGAATACAGATCTATATTTCGTGTCGTTTTGGGTTTTTTTTTATACTTTCGATGGCCTACACTACGTGAAGATCTGACCGGTTGTAGTGGAAGGGCGCGTCAGAGGTCATACGAGCGACTTTTGACCCTATGACGTCAGATATTGATTAATCAACCAGCTTTGACGTTTCTAGTGGTTTACCCAGAGTTCCGTGCATCGCATGCCAAGAACTCGCAGTAAAAGACCGTTTCATTGGCTAATCCCTCACATCATCCAGAACGCGGGTTATATAACAACTCTTCCACATCCTTGTGTTGTGAAGACAATTAAAACGAACTTTTGAACTATAAAAAACGAAACGAAGTAGGATCTGTGTTTCAATCAGACTGCCACGATAGTAAATAAAGTATGTGTAGTTAGGATAATTAATTAAAGGGGAATAAATACGATACCCAGTTTAACTGTTAATTTAACGCCGCCATCTGTGTGCCATTTACCACACTGTTTCTGTAGAACTTGGCAACACTTTACAACATTTTCTACAGTTGAAGGGAGGTCACTTTGTTTATTAACCCGCCATAAACTTAGCAGAGCATCGCCTGAAATTGATAACATCATTACAATTTGATCTATTTCAATTTTAAACCTAGTTTCAACTCATCTTTCACAAAATTTTAAAAGGAATGGGGTGGAGTTAATGTCTGGTCAACACAATATTCGGACTATCATATGGTTATTCTCCATTATCCATTTTTACGGTTAATCACCAACGGCCATTGAATGAACAGCAGCGCAGATTCCAATCTAATGAAAATAGGACCCATCAGATGGCATCGAGAGTTGTTTATGGTCTTGTCATGTTATTAAATGTCTATCCTGTAATAAGTAGATTTAATACTTGCCTAATGTATGCTCAACCTGGGGGCTGAATCTAAGAAGATCATTAATTGTCGTCGCCCCTGTCCATCCGTGTGTCCGTTAACATTTCGTTTATGGACAATCTACAGGTCACATTTTTTATCCGATTTTGATGAAACGTAAAATGTATGTTTACAACCCAAAGATCACGATTCCTTTCAATACTTGCGCTTATTGGTCTATAACTTTCTGGATTATAACCCCTGACTGTATGAAAAAATTATTTATTTTTATGCTTGTTTTCTGTCCATCTCTTTCGTGGCAACAGCTTGTTAATTCTAAAACCAATTAACAGCGGCGTGTTGGGTCCACCCTAACCTGTTTTGTGTTATATTCCCTTTATAGGTTTATTTACCTGCAAATTTAAGGACATCTCCACCAGCTGCAATGATCTCTTGAACTAATTCTCCCAGGTACGCGTTTAATATTCTTGTTAGTTGATCTATCCCAGTTTTAAGATCAGCGCCATATTTCTCACATAAAGCTGTAAAACCTATATTGAAAAAAGAATAACATTTATATCGTGACTTTCTCTATTCTTGTGAAGACAACTCGTCGTCTCGAATCATAGACGTACGGGCTCGATTAATGTTAAGGGTGGGGGGGGGCAGAACCTGAAATGCCCGAAACAATTTCGGGTTGGAGACGTCTAACATGTACCCAATGGTATACACAGGACCAACTGCCACGGGCATACACGGGTCACTCCATTCTGCACCACTGACACGGAGAAAATAGGGTGGAAAATTCCGAGAAACGTTTTCGGCCAAAACGTATAGTGCACCAGGGCCATTCTCATTGAACTGTGCGCCGTGGCCCCTATCAACCATTCTCACTGAGCCCCTATCAACCATTCTCACTGAGCCCCTATCAACCATTCTTGTCAAATTTATCCTAGTCCATTATTATTGTAAAGTATTTTTACCTGAGATATCAGCGAATAATAGAACTGCTGTATATTTGGCTGTCCAGGGTAACTTCTCCTTATGATCAGCGAACGTGACGACACCAGGCACGTGAGTAATCAGGTTGTCTAATTTATTGGATTCACCGTGATTCTGTTTCATCAGATTTAAAGCTAAACTTGCAAAATCTTTTATAGAAAAAATAACAAGATTTGTGAGGTTGGGTTTATAACATATTACACGGCCAGGATGTATTAAAGAAAAAACATTGTACGATTAGATTTTGAAACATACTATAATCAGAATGTGTTCAAGTATTTGGCCTATTTTTTATTTTGTACCAGTCTGGTTAAAACACAGATCCTATTTCGTTTCGTTTTTTTATAGTTCAAAATTTCGTTTTACTTGACTTTACCACACTAGGATCTGGCGGAGTTGTTATGTAGCCCTCGTTCTGGTTAATGTGGGGGATTAGCCAATGAAACGGTCTGTTACGGCGAGCTTTTGATGTCTGGTGCACAGAAACATCACTAGAAACATCAATGCTGATTGGTCAATCAATGTCTGACGTCATAGGTCAAAGGCCGCTCGTATGACCTATGATGTGACCTCCCACTACAACTGGTCAGATCTTCATGTTGTGTAGGCTATCGAAAGTATAAAAAAATGAAACGAAATATAGATCTGTATTTTAATCAGAGTGAATTTGTACACGAGAACAGAGAGATGAGAGAGAGAGAGAGAGAGAGAGAGAGAGAGAGAGAGATGGGTTTAACGTCCACTCGACACAAACTAGGTCATTTCGGGACTAACATATGGTTTATTTTTTTCATTTCAATAATTCGCTTGCGCGTAGGGTTCTTTAGCAGTGGGAGAAAACCGGAGGACCCGGAGAAAACCCACGAGGTTGGACAGCCGACCTAACTCCTTGTCACGTACAACCGGAGATTCGAAACCACGCCAGTACACTCAATGACAGGACTTATGATGCAACACGCACACGCTAACCATTCGGCCATCCACCCCCCCCCCCCCACATGAGAAGAATCTAATCATTTGGAAAATAACCAACGATTATTTAATTGTTATTGTTTTGGGGTTTTTTTTTTTTGGGGGGGGGGGTCACGTGTCTTAAGCAGTGCTAGCTATAGGGAGGATAATTTTGCCTGAACAGCGTGCGATTAAGGTAAAAGACAAACTGGACCTAAGTTGAGACCGTCATGGATGCCGCGTATATTAATGAGTCTATTTTTAAGGTTAGGGTTAGGGGTAGGATTATAGTAATTAAAACATATTATCCTGATTTGTTCGAGGATTGGATCCATTTCAAAACAATGTGCTGGGGTGAGACCTTTTTTGCCCCGCCCAATCCCCTTTCCAACACTAATCATATCTAGATGATTCACTAGCAGAGAGTGATAAAGCGAAAACTTTTATACATACTTATATAAGCTCAAAGGAACAATAAAAAATCCATCCATAATTTCCCATTTCAATTTTGAATTTTGAACTTTGATATTCATGGGTCCCATAGACATTTATGGGCCTTGTAGCGGCGCACCGACTTCACCCCCCACTTCATGTGAGGTGTGGTTTGAGGTCTCGTGGTCAACACAATGTTTCGCTTATTATGAGACTAACACGAGGACGTGTTTTTCTAAGTCACGTGTAAAATTCTAGGGGGGGGGGGGAATTTGTCTGGCATGGCAGGTGCGTTTTTGCCAACTATTCTTAGAATTTCAAATGTGAAAACTTATTTTTAAAGTGTACACGGGTGGATCTCTATATTTTTTCGTCTCTTCCGAACGACTCGGCACACTTTAATTGTCAGTCCCGTGGGTTCTACACTACCAGAGATTGGGTTTGAAAAATCCTAAGTTTTTTTCTGTGAGCACGCCGGGATCCGTTCCAATAGTTTTCCTGTTAAGATTTTGAGAAACAGGGCACTGGAATCTAATCTAGGAACAGTACTAACGATACAATGAGATGTACGGGCTCCAAAACAAAATATAAAAATGTAGGGTACAAAAACAATCCCCGCAAAAAAAGTAGAAAATATTTCTGCATCAATCTATTCCGATTTTGGATCTTACAAACGCCATCACTAAAGTCAATGAAAGTGATTTATGTATCATTCTGCAAAAATAAAATAGAAATACTATAATATCATAAAATTAAAAAGATGATTTGATTAACACTTACTCATTTTATCCCCAAAATACGCTTAAAAGCGATTTTGCGGCCGAATGGTGGGTGAGCGATACTAAAAATAGATCGAACAAAGCTGTGACGTCACAGTCGGGAATCCCCGTAGAAGATTACGCATGCTTAGGGATTTCTACGATGGCGGAGGGAGCTCTAAACTACGATCCAAGTAATTGTTTTTTTTTACTGGTTGTATCCTAAGTTTTCTTGTAATTTTCAATATTATTTCAAGGAAGGGACTCAGAGTGCATTCATAGAAGTGCAAAGCAGAAAAATATTGTGGTGAAATTTCGACAATATTTGTAAAATTTGCAGTGGAAACGAGTGCAATGGAAATGATATAATTTTGTAAATTTATCGGTTCTTTCTAGAATTTTTGCTTCTAGTATCATTTATGAACCTAAAAATTAAAGTTGACTGCGTTTAGTTTAAGATATATAGAGCATAACGAGAGATATTATTGACCTATTTTCAATCATTAGACCGTTTAAATTTAATAGAGAAAACTTTTTGTCGGTGCAGCAGCCAGAAACTTTCGATTTCTTGATAGAATGCAGTGGGTTAATTCAAGTCCTGGGTTAAGGTGGTGTAGTGTCTAACACCAGTTAGATCAGTGTAGAACTGGTGTAACGCTGTGCTAATTCAACCTCAGACCCACTCTGTATTTGAAATCAATCCGAGTTAAAGTAGCTAAGTCTCTAACTCAATATCATCCAAAATCTTCAACATTGAAAACACGATTTATTTGTCAAATTAAATCAACATTCATGTTGTGATCTTACCGGAAAAAGATGGGCTTTTCATATCCAATATTTAAGACAAAATAAACATTTTACCATTGGTACACGAATCGTGTACCAAAATGCGCTTCAGTCCCAGTTGTATCAAGAGACTCGAGGGACGAGGCTAGACACATTGCACCAAATCAAACGGCGTATGTAGACTGGAATAACCAGACGCTAGAAATTTGCACTCGCTTGAGACTGCTGGCTTATTTCGCCGAACATAACTGATTTGAAATTGGAGTAAAAACGGAAACCATTGAATGTAAATCAGTTTATATACATTCATACTACAGTATTATATGTGTTGCGACCTACTCTTGTCAATTTCTAGGTCCCAAATGTTAGCGATTTAGCTCCTTTAAGGTCTGCGGCTAAGTCTCTAATTCAATATCATCCAAAACCTTTGACAATGAAAACACGAATTATTTCTCAATTTTAATCAACATTGGTTTTGTGATCTTACCGGGAAATGACGGGCTTCTGATATCCAATATTTAAAAGCGCAATTTGTAACTCGAAGAACGAGGTTAGACATATTCCACAAGTCATGTCAAACGGTGACCCCATATTCTTATCTGGAGAGCATGCGCAATAAATACTATTGGTGTAGACTGGACAGTTTAAAATTAGAGTAGAAACGGAAACGATTGAATCTAAATCAGTTTATTTACATTCCTATTATGTTATTATATGCGTTGCGACCCATTTGTGTCAATTTTTAGGTCCCAAATATTAGCGATTTAGCTCATTTAAATATGGATATATTTACACAACAGAAACACTAGTGTCGTATCTGTGTTACCCAAACACTAATTTATACCTGAGCCTCTCAGTTTGTCTATATGTTCAATATCAATTTCCCGATTTAAGAAACAAATTTACATGAAATTTGTGCAATATTACTTCTATAGTGTGATATAAGATATTATCTTGTTAAAAATATCCGTAACGGTTAAAAAAAATTCCAGTTCAAGTCATTTATTACAACACTGGTTTGAAACAGCAGAAGGCAAGAAGGGAATTTCTCTTAAAGATACATTCCCGGGTACAAACTTGGTGATTTGATGATATATTTGGACTATAAACATATTCAAACTAATAATTTGATCATAATTTTGCTTCAAATCCTGGGGTGTTGGATGGCTGAATGGCTAGCATGAGCGCGCTGCGCACTGTATCATTAGGCCTGTCATTGAGTTAACTGGCGTGGTTTCGAATCACCGGTTGTACGTGACAAGGAGTAGGGTCACCTGTCCAACCAACCTCGTGGGTTTTCTCCAGTTTCCTCCCACTGTTAAAGACCCCTATGCGCAAGCAAATTATTGAAATAAAATTAAACCATATGTTAGTCCCGAGTTGACCTAGTTTGTGTTTAGTGGAGTTGAACCCCATTTCTCTCTCTCTCTCACTTCAGATCCTTCTAAAAACATTGCAATTGTCAGGGAATACCAGGCTATAAAAATTCGATCAAAAGAGGTCGTCTTTGTGTCACGTGGCACAACGGGTGCGATGTTGGAGGAGAATTCATTGCATACAAAGGACGATGTTGTCTTTATCGCTGACTATTTATTACAAATATCAAAGCCTAATTAAATTCTCGGATTATCCACTGCCCGCGTCTTTTTCCGTGATTTTTATCTCAGAAAATGTTGTTTGTCTAACTCTTCATAAAGTTTACCAACATGTACATGAGGCGCTCAATCTCCGCGTGCAACCTTTGACATCACGCGCGCAGACACTCCTAATCGTTGGGCTGTCGATTAGGGAAACCCGTACATTTTTGTCCTGTATTCGCTCCATGAGTGTTTTTCAGGGAATCCAGTATTTTTCTAGTAAGATTGGATATTTCTACTTTCCATATATACCAAAATTACCATACTTTTATTGGAAATAACCACCCGATAAATACTTTTCTGGGAACGTAGCTTTAAGGCTTTTAGATTTAGTTTTATGGCTTAAAATTAAAAATTGAACTATATGTTAGTCTCGAAATAACCTAGTTTGTGTTGAGAGGACATTAAACTCTCTCTCTCTTTCTCTGCATCATTGGTCTAGAATGGAGGGAGAAGAGGGTTGAATTAACATTTTCTGTCAGGTTTTAGTAAATATTCTGAACTTCTACTCTCTAAAATGCTTTTGTGCACATGTCAAATGTACACGGAATATCTCAATATTTCGGCCCATTCATCAACTATAAAATAGATCACTCTTGATGAAGAACTGTGGACATATTATAGCAGCCATTACAATAAAAAAGATCACTCGGTATTTTTATATATTTCAGGTAAAAATTACGATGATCAGACCTGTGCTCAGCAGAGAGATATTGAAAAAGCGGTGAGTCAACCTAAATATCTATGATTTTATACAACTGTAATGTTAAGGAGACCATTCATTAGTGGTGGCACAATAGTTGAATCAAAGTATCGCGTTTTATCTTCTTATGATTCGCGTAACTCTGCATCGATTTTTCACAATTAATTTTTTTTTTATGTTTTTTTTTGTCGGTTCAGTAAGTAACCTGTCACGCTTAATTATTCATGTCACACATTATCCATACATGTAGGTACACAAACACTCTTAAATTGATTTGATCCAGATCAATATAACACAGTTTTATTTCTACGACATCAGCGTGACTAAAAATATAAATTATTCATTTAACCTGTTGTTTTCTTGGTAAATAGTGACTTAGTTATGAATCGTTTTTACATTTTTATGATTTGTGCATTAATCGTACATTTTGTAAGTTGTATGTCTCTCTCTGTATTATAATTTTATCCTGTTTACATTATTCCCATTGTTCATCCTTCTCCTTTTATTTTTGAGCTATCAGAATCTGATTAGAACACAGATCCTATTTCGTTTTTATAGGGGGGTCGGATGGTTAGCACGTGCGCGTTGTATCGTAAGGCCTGTCATTGAGTCAACTGGCGTGGTTTCGAATCCCCGGTTGTACGTGACAAGAAGTAGGGTCACCTGTCCAACCTCGTGGGTTTTCGTCGGGTCCTCCGGTTTCCTCCCCCTGCTAAAGACCCCTACGGCAATCGAATCACTGAAATAGAATTAAACCATATGTTAGTCTCGAAATGGGGGATCACGTGGCTAAGTGGGTAAGACGCTGGCTCGCTAGCCTGGAGGTCGGGTGTTCGATCCCTGCATTGGCCGAGAAAGTTCATCCAGATTTTCCGGCGTGGTTTCCCCTTGTCAGTGATGCAGGACGGCGGGCCTGACAAGGACAGCTGTCTAGTCCTAAGGATGAAACGAAAAACCAAGTTCCCGTGTATATATTGGAATGCACGTAAAAGATCCCCTGGCAGTTGGAATTCGATATAAGAGTAGGCGATAGTGCCGCTGCCCGGGCAAAATTTCCCTCATAGCACACTGTATGGCGTATGTCCGTCTTCATTAGCCCAGCGGCAATACTATATACTTGAAAACACCGGAAAACAACCGGAAAACACCATTTTATACTGAATACTGGAAACCGGAGGACCAAGAGAAAACCCACGAGGTTGGACAGACAACCCTACTTCTTGTTGCACAAATTATGCTGCACTGTGTAAGAACTTGCATCCTTTGATCTGAAGATTATAGATGGAAAAGTATCATTTTCACTATTTCAAAGTAAACCTGCATTTTCGTATATCATTCCGTAATTTGTGATGTTTGTAAAACGAACATCGTAATGACCTTGACCTTCCTTCATCGGCGCTTACTTGGTCCAAAACCGCACACAGAGGACCAGGCTCCGGGTTACCTATTTAGGGTGTTTTCCGGTATTTAGGATGTTTTCCAGTATTTAGTGTTTTTCCGTGTTTTCCGGTATTCAGTATAAAATGGTGTTTTCCGGTTGTTTTCCGGTGTTTTCGGGTTGTTTTCTGGTGTTTTCCGGTATATAGTATGGCCCTTAGCCCAGTATAGGAGCAGAACAGTAGGATGTTAAACCCCACTTCATTTCATTTCATTTCAGTCCCGAAATGACCTAGTTTGTGTTGAGTGGACGTTAAACCCTCCCTCTCTCTCTCTCGTTTTTATAGTTCAAAATTTCGTTTTACTTGGCTTTACTACACTAGGATCTGGAAGAGTTGTTAAAATTGACGTGTTCTGAATGGTGTGAGGTATTAGCCAATGACATGGTCTGTTAAGGCAAGCTTTAGACGTGTTTTGCACGGAACTGTGGGTAATCCACTAGTAACATCAATGCTGATTGGTTAATCAAATGTGTGACGTCATAGGGTCAAAATCCGGTTGTATGACCCCTGACGCGACCTATCGCTACAACTGGTCAGATCTTCATGTAGTGTAGGCCATCGAAAGTATAAAAAAACGAAACGAAATATAGATCTGTATTTTAATCTGATTGGAGCTATCATCTATTGCTCATGAAGGTCAAGATGGTAGAAAGACGTCTGCAGCCTAATCCTTTACCCTTCTCAAATAAAGTTATTACTATTATTAATCGTGATATGAATCGTATCGTAGCACCTAAATCGCAATACTTATCGTATCGTGACTGCCGTGGCAATACACAGCACTACCATTCATATCTCATATTTGAGATCCTGACTGATAATCAATCCTTTTCATCTTGTACAAGTAAATGTCTAGCTACTCTGGTTACTCAAATTCAAATTACCCGTAAAAATCCATTATATATGCCACCTTTTCCTTGAGTTGCTTCCGTTATTAAATTTATACTTTGTTTTGTTCTTTCAATTCCCTGATTGTTCGTGACAAGGAGTATAGTTGTCTCTCCAACCTCGTGGGTTTTCTCTGGTTTCCTCCCACTGCTAAAGACCATGTGTTAGTCCCAAAATGACCTGGTTTGTGTCCAGTGGACATTTAACCCCATCTCTCTCTGTCTCTCTCTCTCTTTTGAGTGAAGCCAGTATCACTACAGGCTGGGTGGGGACTGTACAGTGCAATGATTGTTTACAACTGGCCCCTGGAGTCATTCACTTGATCAGATATGTGTGTTTGTTGTTTTTAGTATCTGTATATTGTGTCCTGTCCAGGGGTTTGTCTTGTGTAATTGTTTGTGTGTGGTGCAGTCCCCCTGAACATACTATTTTTATTGTAGATAGCAGATGAACAGCCATTAGTCAGTGATATTTTATCCTTTGATGAACTGAAAACAGAATATCAAGATGATGAAATATTTAAACTTAAAATAGATGTAAGTATTTTATATTTATCTATTGTATCTTATCCTACCACCTCAGATCACTTGCTCACGCACTAGGTGACCAGTATGTTGTTTGAGATTGTTCCTCAGCCCGGATTCAGTCAGTGGTACATAATGGAAGGCAATGAAATGAAATGGGGTTTAACCTCCTACTGTTCTGCTCCTATACTGGGCTAATGAACACGGGCATACGCCATACAGTGTGCTGTGAGGGAAATTTTGCCCGGACGGAGGCATTACAATCTACTCTTATTTTGAATTACAACTTTTGTCCTATGTGAATGACTAGACACTGTTCTTTGCCTGACCCTCCGTCCATCACCGCTGACATGGGGACCCTCCTGTAAACTCCTTAATAACTTTCTTGGCTAACTCCACATTCAATCATCAGTGAGCTTTGAGCAGCGGATCGTATTCAAATCCAGTGAAAATCAAGCGCATAAGATGGCATCAAGAGTTGATTATGGTCTTGTTTTGTTAATAAATGTCTAATTAATAGTTGATATAACATTTCCGGCCAAAAGAAAGAGCTACAATAGGCAGATTTAGTTCTTGCATAATGTATGTTTAATGGCAAAACAATAAAATAATCAACCGTGAGTAAGCAAGTGGTAGTTAACAACATATTTTCTTCTCTTTCAGGATTTAAAAGGAAGATATAAATATATGAGGAAAACGCGAGGTGATGGGAATTGTTTCTTCCGAGCGTTTGGTTTTGCCTATCTAGAACAACTTTTAAATAACAACGCAGATTTTCCCAGGTTAATTTTTAATTCATTATACATAATGATTTTAGTTATAATTGACAAGACGTCCGACACTACCTGAAGTTGTATCTTTCACAATTTCAGGATAACTGTTTCTTTTTCATAGTAGGGTGGTACTTGTTAATTTGTCCTGTTCTATTTTTATTTTTATGAATGGTTTATTTTTTAATGTTATATTTTTTATGAATGAGTTATTTTTTTATGAATGGGTTATTTTTTTATGAATGGGTTTTTTTTTTATGAATGGGTAATTTTTTTGAATCTTATATTTTTTAATGTTATATTTTTTATGAATAGTTTATATGTTTTTTGATGAATGTTATGTTTTTTTATGAATGGTTTATTTTTATGAATCTTATATTTTTTTTTTGTACTGGCCAGATTTAAAGAAATTGCCAGTAAGAGTAAAGATGAATTAGTAGCACTTGGTTTCCCACAATTTACAATTGAAGATTTTCATGAAACAGTAAGTATACATTTCTGTAGTTTAAGATATTGTAATTTATATTTCTGTACAGTAAACCTCGCATAAGCCGGATTCGTATAAGTCCGATCTTCGCTCAACTCAGATAAAATCGCTTGGACCTTTTGATCATTCACGTTTTTCTTATTAAATTTCTGCGCGTCAGTTGGATTTCCTAAGTCGGATCATTACTCAACTCGGATCAAAATGTTCGGTCCATTTGATCTAATTCCTTCGCCTAAGTCGGATCGGCAGTATGTTCAGAATTTCACTGTCAGTTAGGTATTATATGCACAGAGCCCCAAAATACTTTCCTCTTTACCATTTTGACTCAAATCAGCCTATTTGACGCGACATAATAATAGAATTTTCCTGGAAAATTCAAAACTCGCTGTCTGCTGTACGAGACACTTTCCGGGAAAATTTAGGACATTTTCAAAGATGGCGACATAACAGAAGTTATCTACTCGCACCAAAACGGAAGTTATCAACTCGCACATACGAACAAAAGCTTGAAATATGCCTTTGAATCAATTATTATCTGGTTCTTGCAGTTATTTCTAATCGAGCTAACTCAGATCTTTGCTTAACTAGGATAAAATTGTTCAGTCCGCTTAGATCAGACTTATGCCAAGTTTACTGTAGTTGATGAAATAGTAATTTATATTTCTGTAGTTGATAATATTGTAATTTACATTTCTATAGTTGTTGATCTTCTAATTCATATAGTTTATAATATTGTAATTTATATTCCTATAGTTTATGATATTGTCATTTATATTTCTATGGTTTATGATATTGTAATTTACTTACAGTTTATTGTATTGTAAGTTATATTTCTATGGGTTATATTGTTGTAATTTATATTCATGTAGTTTTTGATATTGTAATTTATATTTCTATGGTTTATGATATTGTAATTTACTTACAGTTTATTGTATTGTAAGTTATATTTCTATGGGTTATATTGTTGTAATTTATATTCATGTAGTTTTTGATATTGTAATTTATATTACATGATATTATAATGATCATCATCAATGGGGCCTTGAAGTAGATCTACGACCATTTGGTCTATCAGTTCTTTTATCTTATAGATTCATAGCAATGATTAAAGTCCTGTAGTGTTATATGATCTGTAGTTATTGTAATTTATATTTCTTTTAGTTGTAATTGTATTGTAATTTATATTTCTGCAGTTGCAAATTGTATTGTAATTTATATTTGTATAATTGTAATTATATTGTTATTTATATTTATGTACTTGTAATTGTATTGTAATTTATATTTATATAGTTGTAATTGTATTGTAATTTATATTTTTATAGTTTATGGAAGTAATTGAGAAAGTAGAGAAGAAATGTACAAATGAAGAATTTTATCAGTTATATACAGATCAGGGAATTTCAGATTATTTTGTGGTTTATCTCAGGTAACTACCTCACCTTTTCGGGGTTTCGGGGGGGGGGGTCCTCCCGCTGCTAAAAAACCCAACACACAAGAGAATTACTGAAATAAAATTGAAAATGTGTTAATCCCAAAATGACCTGGTTTTTATCGAGTAGACGTCAAACTTCACTTGAAGACTTTTCTGTCTCTTTTGTTGCTTCGACACCTGGAAGGGAAGCAATTCGTGAAACTATGTGTTCCATCCTTGAAGGATATGTTCTCCTTCACATAAACTTGCTAGCCTGGAGGTCGCGGGTTCATCGGAATTTCCTGGCGTGGTTTCTCCTTGTCAGTGATGCAGGACAATAGTGCCTGACAAGGACAGTTGTCTAGTCGTTTGGAGGTTCCATGTGCACATAATACATCCCCAGGCAGTTGGAATTCGATATAAGAGTAGGCCGTAGTGCCGATCTCCGGACAAAATTTCCCTCGTAGCACATTGTATGGAGTATGCCCGTCTTCATTAGCCTCGTCGGAGCAGAATAATAGGATGTTAAAACCTATGTCATTTCCTTCACATATACACTGTCATCATAAATTCTGTCATTGTGTCAACTGGCATGGTTTCGATTTCTCGGCTGTACGTGACAAGGAGTAGGGTCGCCTGTCCAACCTCGTGGGACGTCCGGTTTCCGCCCACTGCTAAAGACCCCTACGAGCACTTGAATTAATGTGTTAGTCCCGAAATGACCGAGTTTGTGTCGAGTGGACATCAAACCCCACGTCTCTCTCCCACTCCCTCTCCGTTGGTTTCACACATGAAAGGGAAGCAACTCTTTTTCCATCTAGGCTATATTATTGGACTATCTTTTTACGTATTATTGAAGAGTGAATGAATTTATTTGTTTTATTTACTAGGCTTATTGTATCAGGACATTTACAAAAAGAAGAAGATTTTTTCATTCATTTTGTCGAAGGTGGACGAACTGTAAAAGAATTTTGTAATCAGGTATAGAAGTTTTGTCTCGGCTTACTTTTAAATCCCCTTACATTGATGTAAAGAAGCAACGGGTTACCATGGTTACCATCGATCAAAAATTAGTATAAAAGTAGACCAACATGGACCCCATTAAATCCGAAATATAATGTGCCCAGCCCACCAATGCAAATATATGTGAACGAAAAAGCTATGAAAAGTCTCTGATTTGCATTAGGTTTGCAACTGACACAAATGAGTTGAATGTAAATGTGATCTGAATGTATATAGACTGATTTACATTCAATCTTTTCTGTTTTTACTCTAATTTCAAATCCGTTATGTTTGGTGAAATATGCAGAAGTCTCAGTCTCGAACGTCTGGTTATTCCAGTCTATTGCGCATGCTCTCCAGATAAAATATGGCGTCACCGTTTTGATTATGTCTAGCCTTGTTCTTTCTTGTCCTTTGTTACAAATGGCACTGAAACTCAATATTGTACACGATTCGTGTACCAATGGTAAAATGTTTATATTGTCTTAAATATTGGATATCAGAAGCCCATCTTTTCCCGGTAAGATCACAGCATCAATGTTGATTAAAATTGACAAATAATTCGTGTTTTCAATGTCGAAGATTTTGGATGATATTGAATTAGCTACTTTAAAGAATAGAATATTATGTTGACCATCACCATCGATCCTAAAGCCTAATCGGGAGGTTGGATGGCCGAATAATTAGCATGTGCGCGCTGTATCATAAGGTCTGTCATTGAATCAATTGGCGGGGTTTCGATTCCCACGGTTGTCGTGACAATGAGTAGGGTCGCCTGTCCAACCTTGTGAGTTTTCTCCAGGTCCCCTGGTTTCCTCCCACAGCTAAAGACCCTTACGCACAAGCGAATTATTGAAATAAAATTAAACCATGTGTTAGTCCCGAAATGACCTAGTTTGTGTCAAGTGGACGTTAAACCCCATTTCTCTCTCTCTCTCTCTCTCTCTCTCTCCTAAAGCCTAATCATTTTTTGGGGGTTGGTGGTTGTCAAGTGTTCTACGATTTTTAAGATGAACTATTTATCACCATTGCTGGTATGAAGATGCTGAAATATTATGTGCCCAGCCCACTCAAGCACACCACGTGGGAGCAAAATAAAGCTATGAAAAGTCTCTGATTTGCATTACACTTGCATTAGAGCACCTTTTTCCTGTGTAAACGCTTAGATGGAAGGAGGTCTAAGTATTATAGGCAGAGTTAGTCCCAAAGTGACCTATGTGTAGTTGTGATGAGTCTCATTGTCTGTCTGTCTGTCTGTTTGTCTGTCACACTTTTGAGACACAATAACTCTCCTCCTAATTGAGCTAGAATGTTCAAAATTGCTGTAGGTGTTTATTAGATTGACGCCTTGATGGAGTTCAAAGTTGAGCATTTTCTGCTTAGGATAAGCAGAAATAAGCAATTTGATTGGTTGATGCTTTGGGACATGATAACTTTAGTTCTAATTAAACATACATTATGCAAGAGCAAAATCGGCCTTGTAGGTCTTTCTTTAGGCCTGAAATGTTATAAAAACTATTAATTAGACATTAATTAACTTATCCAGACCATAATCAGCTCTCGATGTCAAGGCTTGCCTGCGATATTTGTTGGATTACAGTCCGATTTGCTGCAAAACTTTCCTTTGTGATTAACGATTAAATGGATAATCAAGACTATTAGTTTTGTCTTATCGACTTCAGTAATGATGATCGAGGCTAAGCGGAACATTCATCCGCTTAGTTCTCGGTTCATAGTAGATCAATTTGACTGAAATTTTTAGCAAGTTGCCTTTACATTATGTAGTTTTTAACTATTATAGTGAGAACTGCCAACTCTTTATCTAATCTCCCATAATGTATCTTTAAGTGAGAGTGATGAAACTTGGTGTATAGTTTCATTACATCAATACCTTGACTAAGTTCGATAATAGTTAGCGTGTACACGTTACGTCATAGGATCTGTCATTGAGTCAAGTGGTGTGGTTTCGATTCCCCGCTTGTACGTAATAAAAAGTAGGGTCCCCTGTTCAACCTCGTGGGTTTTCTCATGGTCTTCCAGTTTCCTCCCACTGCTAAAGACCCCAACGTGCACACAAATTATTGAAATAAAATTGAACCATATGTTAGTCCCATCTCTCTCTCTCTTTCAGGAAGTTGAGCCGATGCATAAAGAAAGTGATCACATCCATATTACCGCGCTGACGGCAGCACTGGGCGTTAATATTCGAGTGGAATATATGGATCGAGGAGATACGCCAAAATGTAACCAACATGATTTCCCGGATGGAAGCCGACCAACCGTTTATTTGTTATATCGTCCGAGTCATTACGACATCCTGTATCCGTGATGTATTGTTACTATGGTTACGTGGGTTATTTACACTTGTATATTTTTTTCACAGAATGAACGAGAAACTGGGGTCGAGATATTTAAGCCGTTAATTCGACCGTGTGTCAACTTGACTGTGCCTATTTTTAAAGTCAAGGGCTATAAAATGATATAATTCTAGGAAATAAATTTGTTATTTGTGGGGTTGAGTGGTCCTGTGATCCAACATAGAGGGTCGGTATACCAACACATATACTGTGATGGATGCAAGTCAGGGGTCCAATCCCAGGCTGTCAACTTTTCTGGGCATATATATTTTTAAAATTGTCAGTTATAAAATAATTTATTTGTTGGGTTTGTTGAATGGGTAGTTCTTAAGGCCTGTTATGTATGCAAATCATGGGTCCAGTCCCAGGCTTGCAGTGGCATAAATAGAGAATCTCCTACAATTCTTTTTTGATATCAAAAAATATCAGCACGTTTTTTTTTTTTACTTTATCCACGCGTGTTGATATTTTTTTATGTCAACAAGGCGAGTAGGAGATTTTATTTATTAACCAATACTTTCTTACATGCACGAATAAATAAATATAATTCTTTGCTATAGATTTCACTTTTACTGAACCCGATTACATTACAGGGTAGTGATACATCATTTTTTGACAGCAATTCAACCATTGCAAAGTCCTTTATATTGTCCCAGTGTTTCCATGAAAGTCAATTAAATAAAGATAGTTCCTTTTAATAAGAAAGAAGTTATTTTTAATAAAAAAAATGAACTGTTCTTTGAAAATAAAAAAAAAGTAGTTCCTTTTTGATTAACCAATCAAATTCATGTAAAGCGATATCCCTTAGATATCACTCAGTATATTATGAAATTTATCACACAAGCCATATCTACTGTAGAATGTGTTATTGGGTGATAAAACCCATTTATGGGACAATTTAAACATACATTATACAAGAGGTAAATCTGCCTATTGCAGGTCTTTCTTTAGGCCTGAAATGTTATCTAAATTATTAACTAGACATTTATTAACTTATCCAGACCATAATTAACTCTTGATGTCATCACTAGCCTGCGATATTTTCTGGATTCGAATCCTATCTGCTGCTCATTGATAATTAAATCAAAAAATGGATAATCAAGACTGTGTTTTTTATCGTACCGACTTTAGTAATGATAATCAAGGCTAGACCCAAAATTCAATCGCTAAAATATTGGTTCAGAATGGATCAATTTGACTGGAAGTTTCAGTAAATTCGTATTACATTATCTAGTTTTTAACTATTATAGTGAGAACTGCCAGCTCTTTATCTAATCTCCCATAATGTATCTTTAATGATTAGTGTTGAATTATATTGTGGTCACCAACCCGTCCGTCCGCCCAACCTTTCATAGAAATGAAATGGGGTTTAACGGCAGATTGTTCTACACGGCACTAAGACCTGCTCTTATATCAAATCAAACCACATTTCATTTCATTTCTTATATCAAATTCAGTCTGTCAAAGTTTCTTTTATGTGAACGTCAATGTGTACATTGGGCCTCGGTTGTTCGTATCATTCGAACGACTAATTTGTTATTTATCATTTGGGTGATTTTGAACAGTATACAGGTTAATTTTGTCTATTCTGGACCAGACTTTGTAACATATCATTGAAGATGCTACTACAATAAGGTGGAAAAGTGCCATTTCACACAATCTGCCAAAAATAGACAAGACACGGGGTCGCCTGTCCAACCTCATGGGTTATCTTTAGGTTCTCCGGTTTCCTCCCACTGGTAAAGACCCCTACGCGCAATCGAATTATTAAAATAAAATTGGACCATATGTTAGTCCCGAAATGAACTAGTTTGTGTTGAGTGGACGTTCAACCCCATTTCTCTCTCTCTCTCTCTCTCTCTCTGCCAAAAATAGTATTTTTACATATAGAGAATCTCCTACAAGTCTTTTTTGATATCAAAAAATATCAACACAAGTTGATAAAGTAAAAAAACAAAAAACAAGGCTCTCTCTAACAGGAATATCCTTCAGTATTGACATGAATATACAATATTAGGCATCGTCTTGAGACAATATAAACAAGCCTCTTTTTAATCGGATTATCGTACGTTTCATATTTTGATTTTGTTTCCTTAAAGAGACATTATGGTAAATTAGATAAAGAGGTGACAGTTCTCGCTATAATAGTTAAAAACCAGATAATGAAAAGGGAATATGTTGAAAATTTCAAATTACTTCACTCTAGCTGAGATATCACCGATACAGTTACAGTGTAGCCTCGATTGTCATTGCTACCATTGTTTTAATAATGAACAAAGTTTCGATTATCCATTAATGTTACGTTAAATCATCTACCACAAATCACATTTAATCCGATGGCAGTTGATTATGGTCTTTGGTAAGTTAATTAATTTCTAATTAATAATTTATATAACATTTCAGGCATAAATTCTTAAAGATACTTCCCCGCTCGCAAACTGTGCGATTTGATGATTTATTTGGACTAAAAACATATTCAAACTAATTAATCAATCAGAAATTTGCTTCAGATCCCTTCTCAAAACCTTGTATTCGTCGGGAGATACTGCAAGCTATACATAGACTATTGTTAGATGCCATGTCAGTCAGCTCAATTCATTGAGGCAAGGTCCATTTTTCAGAATGTATTTTCCGTTACTTACTGTCCCTTTATAATACATATTGAGGCCTATTAATTATTTTTTGTCAACTACCGTTTTCACCGTTTAACTTGAGTCTGAGAATGCTTTGTGAACTCGGGGCGTGCAGTAGGCCGATTTAGCTCTTGCATAATGCATGTTTAATTAATTGTTAAACAATCAATTTGGGTACAATTTTAGCATGGATTAAGGGTAAAATAAATTAGATATTGAAGGAATCTGGTTCTTTAAAGATACATTATGGGAGATTAGATAAAGAGCTGGCAGTTCTCACAATAATAGTTAAAAACTAGATACTGTAAAGGGAATTGGCTGAAAATTTCAGTCAAATTGCTCCACTCTGAACTAAGATTTTAACGATTGAATTTTCAGCCTAGCCTTGACCATCATTACTAAAGTCAGTAGGATAAAAAAACATAGTCTTGATTATGCATTTCGTGATTAAATTATGAATGGAATCCAATAAACATCGCAGGCTAGCAATGCCATCGAGAGTTGGTTATGGTCTGGATAACTTAATTAATGTCTAATTAATAATTTAGATAACATTTCAGGCCTAAAGAAAGATCTGCAATTGGGAGAGTTAGCTCTTGCATACTGTATGTTTAATTTAATATGAATTTTAAGTTTATTTGAAGGGGTTGGGGCTTGGAAAGGACAGATTATATATATACAATATTGGCTAAATTCATTTTTGGGGGGAGGTGTGTGTGTTTGGGGGGGGGGGGGGTCATTTTAAATTGTTTAATCTGTCCAATAATAAACCTAGAAAATATTACAAAGTTTTAAGGAAGTGATTTTATTTTCATATTCCTGAAGCAATGGATCGAGAAATCCCTCTCTTAGTTAGGTCTAATCAAACCAAACACTGCAGGGCTTATGTTTAATATTCTGTTATCTTGGTCCTTCTGATGGTCAGGGTTGTCCAGCTAACCTTCATCTGATGATCAGGGTTGTCCAGCTAACCTTCATCTGGTGGTCAGGGTTGTCCAGCTAACCTTGGTAAAGATTGGGCAACAATGGTTGAACAAAGGTCAACAACTCTTCTGTGGTATTTTCATTTTGAGTATAAAAATGTACCAAGTTTTAGCCCCATCTTGAAAATGTCATAAATTCTGAAACGGTCACACGTATTCAAATTTGACCTTTTCATGCATTCGGTCTTTATGACTTATGTAATTGCTGAAATTGTGGGCTAAATCTATTTGTTAAGGCCAGCTCATTGTTTTGTCCAGGTCGCTGAGATGTAAATATGGTTAGGGCATGAGATTGTTGGCGAGATTGTATGTTAGGGTTAGGGTAAGGCCAGCTCATTGTTTTGTCCAGGTCGCTGAGATGTAAATATGGTTAGGGCATGAGATTGTTGGCGAGATTGTATGTTAGGGTTAGGGTAAGCATTGGGGCTATGCCATGGGTTAGGGTTGGGATTACATCTCATGACCACTGACGAAACATTGAGCTGGATTATCATTTAGCACAAACCGAAATCTAGTCACAATGTCACTCGGCATACCTCAACCTCCGCAGACTCCAGTAACGTACAGCTTAGAGTGCCGGGATCTGCTGAGGTCTTCCGAGTGGTCACAATGCATGTAGTCATGGAGACGATCTATCATTAAAAACTGGTTTAAAAATGAATATTCATATGTATAAAACTTCCCTGATTAATTCTTGTGGACTCCTTTTTTATGGGCTTGGTTCAGCAGCAACATTTGTACCATAGTTCATTGTAAATCTGACTTGAAAAACTCGTTTTACTTGTGTTTACTACACCAGGATCTGGAAGAGTTGTTATATTACCGACGTTCTGGTTAAAGTTAGGGATTATCCAATGAAACAGTCTGTTACGGCGAGTTCTTGGCATGCGATGCTCGGAACTGTTGGTAAGGGTAAACCACTTGAACGCTGATTGATTAATCAATGTCTGACGTCATAAGGCCAAAAGTCGCTCATATGACCTCTAACGCGACCTTCCACTACAACTGGTCAGATCTTCATGTACTTAAGGCCATCGAAAGTATAAAAACGAAACGAAATATCGATCTGTATTTTAATCAGATTGTAGAAAATTGTGGGGGTTGGATGGCTGAATGGTTAGCGTGCGCGCGCTGTATCATAAAGTCTGTCATTGAGTCAACTGACGTGGTTTCGAATCCCTGGTTGTACGTGGCAAGGAGTAGGGTCGCCTGTCCAACCTCGTGGGTTTTCTCCGGGTCCTCCGGTTTCCTCCCACTGCTAAAGACCCCTACACGCAAGCGAATTATGTAAATAAAATTAACCCATATGTTGGTCCCGAAATGACCTAGTTTGTGTCGAGTGGACGTTAAACTCCATTTCTCTCTCTCTTGTAGAAAATTGATATGTTATATGGATTTAATTTTGTGTATAATTTCAAAAAAATTTTCAATCTTATTTCGTTGCGTATATCAATCTCGCACTCGGCGAACCTCAGCAGATTCCAGTACCCTACATCTATATGTAGGGTACCGCAATCTGCCGAGGTTTGTCGAGTGTCAATCTCGTACTATGCTCAATGAACTATTAGTTCCGTTTTTTTTACAATCTCTTCAGGCTTAAAGGTCACCGGAAAAGTTTCGTAACGTAATTATGTCCTTTCCATAACTATAACACAAACCCGAATGTCAGTATTCAACGTTAGAATTTCCGCCGTTCTCCGTTGGTAGTCGTACCTTTCCGTCAATAAACAATCCGTGACTTCATTTTAGTCCTCCTGCTCATAGCTATAAAGTAGTGATAGGTATCATATATAGGACAGGGTATGCTTATCATTTCCAGAACACCTTATATCATTTATTTGGCTATAAAGTAGTGATAGTATCATATATAGGACAGGGTATGCTTACTCTCTCTAGAACATCTGATATCACTTGTTTAGCTAAAAGTAATGTTGCTGATAGTGTATGATATGGGGTAAGCTTAGTGTTTCTGGAACACTTGATTCCACTTCTTAAGATATAATGCACAAGGGTAAGCTTACTATCTAGAACTCCTCCTATAATATGATCCGCACGAGGTTTTAAATATAATATTTCCCAGTGTAAGAGTTATCTGCCCACCCTCACACTGTCCCCTTTTCAACCTGACGTGTGGACAAATTATTCTCCTATTCCATCATTGGATGTGTTGATGAATTTATTGTCATTTCCTGAACTTCAAACAAACGCTCAGAGTTGTTCATAATGGCGTCCTTTCTAGGATGAACGCCTTAGGTGGGTCACGTGATTGGTAAACTCCTGGTTATACCATTGTTCGTTTCCGTGATAAATATCTTTGTTGCTTTACAACATCACGATATTTAAATGTTATCTGAAATATTCACATATTGGTATAAATGTATCGTATTATATTATTATTGTCAATGAAATTTAAATTTTACTTAAGTAAATAAAAATTATCTTCTATTTTATGTTTCTTTATTAAAACAACCGACGTTTATATAATGGGTGGGGCAACGGTGGTTCATTGAGTAGGGTGGTAGCTCTGTAAGGCAGTGGCTCAGTGAGTAGGGCGGTAGCTCAGTGAGTAGGGCGGTAGCTCAGTGAGTGAGGAGGTAGCTCAGTGAGTAAGACGGTGGCTCAGTGAGTAAGGTGGTGGCTCAGTGAGTAAGGAGGTAGCTCAGTGAGTAAGGCGGTGGTTCATTGAGTAGGGTGGCGGCTCAGTGAGTTAGACGGTGGCTCAGTGAGTAAGGAGGTAGCTCAGTGAGTAAGGAGGTGGCTCAGTGAGTAGGGCGGTGGATCAGTGAGTAAAACGGTGGCTCAGTGAGTAAGGCGGTGGCTCAGTAAGTAGGGCAGTAGCTCAGTGGGTAAGACAGTGGCTCTGTGAGTAGGGCAATAGCTCAGTGAGTAAGACGGTGACTCAGTAAGGAGGTAGCTCTGTAAGTAAGACGATGGCTCAGTGAGTAAGTAGGTAGCTCAGTGAGTAAGGAGGTGGCTCAGTGAGTAAGGAGGTAGCTAGCTCAGTGAGTAAGACGGTGGCTCAATGAGTAGGGCGGTGGCGCAGTTAGTAGGGCGGTGGCTCAGTGAGTAAGACGGTGGCTCAGTGAGTAAGACGGTGGCTCAGTGAGTAAGGCGGTTGCTCAGTGAGTAAGACGGTGGCTCAGGTAGGGACTCAGTAAGTAGGGTAGGGACTCAGTGAGTAACACACTTGCTCGTAAATCTGGAGATCCTCGGTTCAGCCAAGATAGTTCTTCTGGATATTCTGACGTGGTTCCGCGGTGGCTCAGTGAGTAGGGCGGTGACTCATTGAGTAAGGCGCTTACTCGCAAATCTGGATATTCCGACATAGTTCCCCTGTGGAACAGGGAGGTGGAACTAGCAAGGAACAGTGTCTAGACGATCGAATATAACGAAATGGTGGAATCCGATTACACATTGGTGTGCACGCAAATCAACACATGACATTTGGACTTGGAAAAAAGAGTAGGCCGTATGGTCGATGTCCGGGCAAAATTGGCTTTATAGCGCACTATCTAGTCGTTAGGATGGGACGAAAAACCAAGGTCACGTGTACACATTGGCGTGCACGTAAAAAATTCCTTGGCAGTTGGAATTCAATATAAGAGTAGGCTATAGTGCCGTTGTCCGTGCAAAATTTCCCACATAGCAGACTGTATGGCATATGCCCGTCTTCATAAAACCAGTTGGTACAAAAAGTAGGACGTTAAACCCCATTTAATTTCTCACCCTTTGTAGGGGTTAGCGCGCTCTCGTTTTATCATAAGGTTTGTCATTGAGTCAACTAGCTTGGTTTCGATTCCCCGGATGTACGTGACAAGGAGTAGGGTCGCCTGTCCGACCTCGTGGGTTTTCTCCGGGTCCTACGGTTTACTCCCACTGCTAAAGAACCCTACGCGAAAGCGAATTAATGAAATAAAATTGAACCATATGTTAGTCCCGAAATGACCTAGTTTGTGTCGTGGACGTTAAACCCTATTTTCTCTCTCGTCCTCCCGTTTCCTCCCACTGCTAAAGACCCCTACGCACAATCGAATCATTGAAATAAAATTAAACCATATGTTAGTCCGGAAATGACCTAGTTTGTGTTGAGTTGACATTAAACCCCATCTCTCTCTCTCTGTCTCTCATCCTTTTTACTTAGATCTACTCACTAAATAAATATAAAACAAGGATTAGTCCTTTTTTTGACAATTATTTTAATCAAATTTACAAAATAATCATCTCCACACATAACATCAATTAAATCCGTAAACATTATTTATAATTTTAAAAACAAACAAAAAAAATACTAGTAATATATCGGAATACATTCAAAAAGGTGAGGCGCCCCACCCCATCATTTCTTTTTAAAGTGCACTAAAGCTATACAAAGATCCTTTATGAGATGCACCGTATATAATTAATTCATAATATACAAATATAAAAAAATATATATCAACAGCAAATAAGTATAAATGTCAGTTGTATTTTAAAAGAAAAAAAAGTAAAAAAAAAAAAGAGATATTATTTGGCGAAAACAATGTATATGAAAAAAAAAATAGTCATGTGATATTTTTGTTGACATCACATGACGGCCGTATATGGTATGATTTGTGTTGTGTTGACGTCACGTTGTTAACATTCTCCGTCCCTGGCAGTACGACAGTTGTGGTACTTAGAGTCGAAAACCTGTCCTTGAGGGCAGCTAAATTCTTCTTTTACCATCCTGGGTAAGGCGCAGCGGTAGAACTTGTTGCAGTCGCTATGGGGGATGTACGTCATCGCCAACTCAAATCCAGTGCAACCCTCTGAAAAACAAGTTGCATGTAATAGCTATATCAAGATTCTGTAACTGCTGGGGATTGTTTCGCGAAATTTAAACTAAGATAAAATCCAAATTCTAGTAATTTGATTGGATAACATTAGATTGATTTTAGTGCTTAGCCAATCAAAATTGAAGTATCTACAAAAATTTGGATTTTATCTTTAGTTAAGATTTCGAGAAACAGGGCCCAGATCACTAAAACAACAATTAGAGATATATTATGGGAGATTAGATAAAGAGCTGACAGTTCTCATTATAATAGTTAAAAAAATAGATTATGTAATGGGAATTTGCTGAAAATTTCAGTCAAATTGATCCACTCTGAACCGAGAATTTAGCGATTTAATTTTAGGCCTAGCCTCGATCATCTTTACTAAAGTCGGTCCCGGAGAAAACCCACGGGGTTGAACAGGCGATCCTACTCCTTATCACGTACAACCTGGGAATCGAAACCCCGCCAGTTGGCTCAATGACAGACCTTATGATATAAAGCATACGTGCTAGAAGATTCGGCCTCCCCACAACCATTTCAAAATAAATGGTAAATATAATAAAATGGAATCCGAACTCACCCCCCTCAAACTGACCCTGTCCCTGTACCTGCTGCTGATCATAATACGCCTGACAAGATACCAAGGCTGCAATTAAAACAAAATCAATCAGCAAACAATAAAATTATTTAACGGAGTATGTCCAGAGAGGGAGTGGGCATATTCTCCTATCGAAAAAGGTATTGCGACAGTTTTGGCCGCAAGCAGAAATATTGTCTCAGAGCTTCTGTGGTTATAAAATTCTCGAAAAATGCGACTTGATGATCGGAATTCCTTTATTCTACGCGCACCCGGCAAACCTCGGCAGATTCCGTTCCTCTACATCTAGCTCTCTCCCTTTCCCTTTTTCCCCCTTTTGCATGGCGATTTTTGTTGACTTTTTGGTGTAGAATCGAAGAAAAAGGTTTGATAATACATTTTCTACCAGGTTTTGGTGAATATTCTAGATTTTGAGGCGGAAGGATACAAGAGTTGAGAGGTTGGTTAGGTTGAAATGTAGGGTCCAAAATTGCATGTTTTGTTGTCTCTACTTCCAGCTTGTGTATCTCAAGTTTTCCATGGTGAACCTCATACGTGCTTTTGGGCAAGAGGTTGCCACATGTTGCTCCATCTGTGGTAGAAAGCGTTCTACCCAACGAAAATTTGGGAAAAAGTTAGAGCCGGTCTAAGAGACGAGAATTAACATTAAAGTCAATGGGCAAATATTTAGTGATCTGTGGCCAGATGTAGGGTACTGGAATCTGCCGAGGTTTGCCGAGTGATTCTCTGCTGTAAAATTTATGTACTGATAATACGAGAAGGCGTCTATTTTAAATGCCATTTAAAGACATGTCTTCTATTCACTTAATTCATTAAATATTCGCTTATAACGTGTTAATAATTCTACGCTGATGAAATAAAAATTCTTTTTTACAGTTTTTCGACCGCGATCACTGGTGTTGATAACGTGTTATTCTCAGCACGACGTTTCGAAATGAAATGAAATGAAATGGGGTTTAACGTCCTACTGTTCTGCTCCGAACTGGGCTAATGAAGACGGGCATACGCCATACACTGTGCTATGAGGGACATTTTGCCCGGACAGTGGCACTACGGCCTACTCTTATCCAACTGTCAAGGGATCTTTTACGTACACGACAATGTGTTCACAGGACCATCGTTTACGGTCCTTGTCAGGCCCTCCGTCCTGCATCACTGACAAGGGGAAGCACGCCGGAAAATCTGGATGAACTTTCTCTGCCAATGCAAGGATCGAACACCCGACCTCCAGGCTAGCGAGCCAGCGTCTTACCCACTTAGCCATCATGATCCCCACGACGTTTCGACAAGTATCGTCTTATTGTTATCAAGTACAATGATATTTAGTAAACTTGAATAATCATTTACAGAGAGGTTAAAGCGGGATTTGGTAAGGTTAGATAAAGAGCTGACAGTTCTCCTATAATAGTTAAAGGGACAATAACACTCTTGCTGGCTTGAAAGCTCCAGAAAATAAATAATATCTCTATCTAAGTACTAGATGTTTAAGTGTCCTACCTGTTGTGTAAATTATCCATTACATCCTATTTTACTTGTCCAGAGGGTTCGAAAATATTTTTAAATCCAAGTCACATTTGAAAAGGTTTACGTTAGACGTTTCAAACCATTATGTTGAATTTTTCAAATTTTTTAGATAAGGTGTGTTAAGATCATATTTGCATCATCAATTAATTGAAATATTGTAAAATAGTACAATTTGTTGGCCAGAATAAAGATTGGGACATATTATTCAGTTATAACAAGAGTGGTATTGAGCCTTTAAAAACTAGATAATGAAAAGAGAATATTTTGAAAATTTTAGTCAAATTGCATCACTCTTAGCCAAGGTATCGGCGATTTAATCATAGCTTAGACGAGAGAGAGAGAGAGAGAGAGAGAGAGAGAAATGGGGTTTAACGTCCACTCGACACAAACTAGGTCATTTCGGGACTAACATATGGTTTAATTTTATTTCAACAATTCGCTTGCGCATAGGGGTCTTTTTAGCAGTGGGAGGAAACCGGAGGACCCGGAGAAAACCCACGAGGTTGGACAGGCGACCCTACTCCTTGTCACGTACAACCGGGGATTCGAAACCACGCCAGTCGACTCAATGACAGACTTTATGATAGGCCTACAGCGCGCACACGCTAACCATTCAGCCATCTAAACCCCCGCTTAGCCTCGATTGTCATTGATATTGTTGCTACCTTTAAACAAAGACTATCCAGTTTAACGGTAACCGCGCCAACAATAAAACTTATTTGAATCCATTAAATATCACAGGCATTCGATGGCATAGATAGTTGATTATGGTCTTGGTAATTGAATTAATGTAGCATTATGGTGGATTAGATAAAGAGCTAACGGTTCTCGCTATAATAGTTAAAAATAGATAATGTAAAGAGAATATGCTCCACTCTGAACCGAGATATTAGCGATTGAATTTTAGGCCTAGCCTCGATCATCATTACTAAAGTCGGTACGATAAAAAAACAAAGTCTCGGTTATCCATTTTGACGTTAAATCATTCATTACAAAATGTATTGAAATGCAGTGAATTTCACAGGCTAGCGATGCCATCGAGAGTTGATTAGGGCCTGGATAAGTTAATTAATGTCTAATTAACAATTTATATAATATTTCAGGCCTAAAGAAAGACCTGCAATAAGCAGATTTAATGACAAAACAATAAAATAATCAATCGTGAGTAAGCAAGTGGTAGTTTTAGCATCTTCTCTTTCAGGATTTAAAAGGAAGATACTAATAGTTTATATAACATTTAAGGCCTAAAGAAAGTCCTGCAACGGGAAGATTTAGCACTTACATAATGTTTAAATAACAGTAACAATAAAAGGTAACAAAAAGTTCCACAAAAAAAAACTTAACAAGACAATACGAACGAAAGTAAACTTTGTGAAAGAAACTTACCTGAGATAATACAAACGAAAGTAAACTTAGTAAAAGAAACTTACCTAAGTGAACGGCAATAAAACTTAGAATTAAGACGCCCTTCATCTCGACTGTCGCTAGTGTGTTTAAAGAGAGAGGCGACAACGGTGATTATATTTGTAACTTCTCCAACTTGAAAGTGTTTTACATAACTTCATACATTACTAGTTATTAACATTTAAATGTCATCTCCCGTCAGGGAAACAGATCACATTCTCTCATGGTTTCACGACTATCGCTTTATACCGTACTTTCTATAATTACAGTGGTGCGGGAGGGGGGTTGGGTGGTCGAATGGTTAGCGTGTGCACGTTGTATCATAAGGTCTGTCATTGAGTCAACTGGTGTGGTTTCGATTCCCCGGTTGTGCGTGACAAGGAGTAGGGTCGCCTGTCCATCCTCGAGGGTTTTCTCCGGGTCATCCGGTTTCCTCCCACTGCTAAAGACTCCTACCCGCAAGCGAATTATTAAAATAAAATAGAACCATAATATGTTAGTTCTGAAATGACCTAGTTTGTGTCGAGTGGACGTTAAACTCTCTCTCTCTCTCTCTCTCTCTGTCTCTCCCCTTCTCTTCTCTCTGGCAATGGACAACGTATAGTCGTTCGGATGGGACGAAAAAACGAGGTCCCGTGTACACATTGGCGTGCACGTAAAAGGTCCCTTGATAGTTGGAATTCGATATAGCCGTAGTGCTCCGACTGGGCTAATGAAGACGGGCATAGGCTATACAGTGTGGTATGAGCGAAATTTGTCCTGGCAGTGGCACTACGGTCCATTCTTATATCGAATTCTAACTGTCAAGGGTTCTTTTACGTGTTCACGGGACCTCGGTTTTTTCGTCTCATCCGTTTCCAGGCAGACTTTTCCCTCAAATCACACTGTATGGCGTATATGCCCATCTTCATTTCAATAGTCCAGTTGTTTTTTATGCTATCTAATTCAGGGGTTGGATGGCCGAATGGTTAGCACGCGCGCGCTGTATCATAAGGCCTGTCATTGAGTCAACTGGCGTGGTTTCGAATCCCCGGTTGTACGTGACAAGGCGTAGGGTCGCCTGTCCAACCTCGTGGGGTTTTTCCGGGTCATCCGGTTTCCTTCCACTGCTAAAGACTCCTACGCGCAAGCGAATTATTGAAATAAAATTGAACCATATGTTAATCCCGAAACGACCTAGTCTGTGTCGAGTGGACGTTAATTCCATATCACTCTCTCTCTCTCTCTCTCTCGCTATCTAATTCCCTTAATTCACACTAATATAGACCTATTATATGTTTCTTGTACATCCAAGCAAACTATGTACGTGAAAACAGGCTTTCTCTAGTTTACGGTAATTAAAATATATCTAAGCAACGCAATTTCTAGATAAATACAACCTACCGACATTTAACGGTTTGCGTTTTTCTGTATTTGTTCAGTATTTAACTGATTTAAAATTTTGTCTGTGCTGAACGGTGACAGGTAACTTTCGATCCCGTGTAAAAATATCTCGTCTTTATGAACTTCAACGAAGATCATAACAACCCCAAGCTCTGCCGCATTTAGACCTACTTCACATACCCCAAATAAATCGAGTAGGATGGATTCTTGTTTAAAATAAAATAAATAAACGGAAACTAACAAAAAACGAATCAATCATAGGGAGGGGGAGGGGGTCTTTTCAGTTGCGTTTTCGATGGTCTAAAAATTTCACATCGCTTCACGCGTCATAGAGGATGTGTTCTTAAATACTAAGTTAAAAACAAAAATTCTGAATCCGCACTTGTGAGTAGTTGAGAGGAGGCGTCTGGTCAAAGGAAATGAAATGAAATTGGGTTTAATCCCCTACTTTTCTGCACCGACTGGGATAATTAAGATGGGCGTGCGCCTTGCAGTGTGTGCTATGATTGAAATTTTGCTCGGACATCGGCAAGCTAGCGAAACAGAGACTTACTCATGGGACCGCGGGGTATCAGTGAGTAAGACGTTGAATCGCTAACCTGGAGCTGCTGTGTACATCCCTGCGTTGGACGAGAAAGATCATCGTGATTTTCCCTAACAAGGGACAACGTATGGTGACATACGTTGTTCGTACCGTGCGGATGGTACGAACAACCGAGGCCCAATGTACACATTGGCGTTCACATAAAGGAAACCTTGGCAGTCGGAATTTGATATAAGAGCAGGTCTTAGTGCTGCTGCCCAGTCAAATTTCCCTCCATAGCACACAGTATGGCGTATGCCGGTGCAGAACAGTAGGATGTTATTTGTTAAACCCCATTTCATTTCTATGGAAGGTCGGGCGGACGGACGGACGGACATGGTGACCACAATATAATTCAACACTAATCATTAAAATACATTATGGAAGATTAGATAAAGAGCTGGCAGTTCTCACTATAATAGTTAAAAACTAGATAATGTAAAGGGAATTAGCTGAAAAATTCAGTCAAATTGATCCACTCTGAACCGAGAATTTAGCGATTGAATTTTCGACCTAGCCTCGATCATCATTACTAAAGTCGGTACGATAAAAAAACATAGTCTCGATTATCCATTTCATTATTTAATCATGAATGAAAGTTCAGCAGCAAATCGGATCCTAATCCAGTAAATATCGCAGGCTAGCAATGACATCGAGAGTTGATTATGGCCTGGATAAGGTAATTAATGTCTAATTAATAATTTAGATAACATTTCAGAACTAAAGAAAGACCTGCAATAGGCAGATTTAGCTCTTGCATAATGTATTTTTAATGTATCTTTAAATGTATGAACATAAAAAAACTTGTCAAGAGATTTTATTGATGATGTGCTTTACTTACGATATAAAAACAAAAACAATATATGTTTACTTCATTTATACAGTTTCCACACATATAAATAGACCTTTGATAAATCCCTGAACAGTCATTCTTCCGGGGTGTTTTAATATGTTTTACAAACCCTTGTATGGTTTTTTTTTTATTTTATTTTATGTTTCAATTTTTTTTTACAAATCAATGAATACCGCCGAAACAGTCTTTCTTTTTTTACTTTTATCCACCGCGTCTATTATTAGAAAAACCTCCCTTTCATCTGACCCACAGGTGTGGCCGGTGCGCCCAGTGACCGCCCATAAGTGTTCCCGCTGGTAGATGTCCTGAAGACTGATCCATCAACAGGGCTAACAGAAGGGGCCGTATACTCGAACTGGATCTCTTGTCTCCAAAACCTCGCTTATCTCCAAAACCTCGCTTGTCCCCGAATCCTCGCTTATCACCAAATCCCCTTTTATCGCCAAAGCCTCGCTTATCCCCGAATCCGCGCTTGTCTCCAAAACCTCGCTTGTCACCAAATCCGCGTTTATCTCCAAAACCTCGCTTGTTCCCAAGGCTTCTTTTATCGAAGAAAATGCGCTTGTCTCCAAAGCCTCGCTTGTCAAAAAAAATCCTTTTGTCTCCAAAAAGTCTTTTGTCTTCGAAATCCTTTTTATCACCGAACAACCGTTTCTCGTCCAATTCTCTTTTGTCTCCGAATAAACGCTTATCTTCCATTTCTTTTTCTGAAAGTTCTTCGACATTTTCTAATAATCTTGGTTCATCAATCTCCCGTAAGTCCCCTTCGAACTCTAGACTTGCCGTTAAAACGGATATGGTCAGACAAGAGAATAACAGAAATGATATTAGCATGATGAGATTTGAGGGTAGCATCTTAAAATATTCCTTGACCTATAATAAAAAGAAAGAAATCATTTCAATGACATTTAGTAATTGAACTGGTATATACAGGTGACAATTCTGTGGAATACAATTACGGCTTATCACTGACCGACGTTTCCAAGAGGCTTGATTAACCGAGTATTGTTTTCCTATGTAGTTTAACGTCAACTTGACACAAACTAGGTCATTTCGGGACTAACATATGGTTCAATTCTGTTTCAATAATTTGCTTGCGCGTAGGGGGTCTTTAGCAGTGAGAGGAAACCGCCGAAGGATCCAGAGAAAACCCACGAGGTTGGACAGACGACTCTACACCCTGTCACGTACACCTTGGGAATCGAAACCACTCCAGTTGACTCAATGACAGACCTTATAATACAACGAGCACGCGCTAACCATTCGGACATTGGCGTGAACGTAAAACAACCATTGACATAGAATTCGATCTGAGACGGACCGGGAAAAATAATCATCATAGCACACTGTATGGCGTATACCTGTCTTCATTAGCCCAGTATAGGAGCAGAACAGTAGGACGGTAAACCCCATGAGACGAAAAACCGAGGTCCCGTGTATACATTGGAATGCACGTAAAAGATCCCTTGGCAGTTGGAAATCGATATAAGAGTAGGCGATAGTGCCGCTGCCCGGGCAAAACTTCCCTCATGGCACACTGTATGGCGTATGCCCGTCTTAATTAGCCCAGGGGAACAGAACAGTAGACGTTAAACCCCATTTCATTTCATTTTTCTCATAAACAGTGATTGAAAGTTGAATAAATTCTAAGTTTTTTGTTTCTGGATCCAAGATATTTCTCGTAAACATTGCCTGATACTTTAGCTGAGTAAATTCTTAACTTAAGTCTGAGAATGCTTTTTGAACTTGGGGCCTGGATTAATCCATGAAAAAATTGAATTTTTTTGTAATTTTTCCTTCAATTTGATGTAAAATTTGACCCTGGACTTTTTTATGGCTATGTTTGAAATAAAAAAAATATGAGTTTTAAATTTTCCACTTTGCCGACAGATCCGTGAAAGGGTTTGGCACACCTGGTACCATTTCTCTATACGAGACAAATCAGCTTTCAAAATGAATAACTCAAATGTTAGTGGCTCATTGTCGGCATTCGAGGAAATGAAATGGAATGAAAATAGGTTTTAGTGTCCTACTATTCTGTTCCGACTGGACTAATAAAGACGGTAGTGCGCTATATACAGTGTGCTATGAGGGAAATTTTGCCCGGACAGTGGCGCTACGGGCTACTCTTGTATCGCACTCCAACTGCCAAAGTTTCTTGTACATCGGTTTTTCGTCCCATCCCAACGACTGTAAGTTGTCCCTTGCCAGGCCCTCCGTCCTGCACCACTGACAAGGGGAAGCCACGTCGGAAAATCCCCATGAGTTTTCTCGGCTAACGCAGGGATGGACCATGGGACTTCCAGGTTAGCGAGCGAAAGCCTTACTCATCGAG